CACACACACACACACAATGCAATATTAACCATAAAAAACAAGGAAATCCTATCACTTTCAACAACATGGCTCACCGGCTTCATTCCTCATCCCTACTCAGACTTGGCAATGCCAGGCTACTATTTGATCATCTCAGTGGCCCTGTATGGTGCAGTGTGTTATCTCCATGAGGTCACTGGGGCTCAGAGAGGTCATGGTCATCCATGGTACACGGTCAAGTACACAGTCAAGCTGGGACTGGATGCAAGGCAGTCTGAACCCAGAGCCCATGTAGGTCAGCAATCTGAAAGGGCAGCGTTAGAACAAGTCTAACAAGGTTGGGGAAACTGTAAGCAGTCGGCTTGGTCAAACCAGACATAAAAAGGCCTTTGTTGAGGGACTTAGGCTCCTAGGGGTGGTTTGATAAGAAATGCCATAGGGATATCGCTCCAGCAACAGGAATGCAGGCTGGATGACAGCCCCAAGGATGTCAATAGGAAACCAGCTAGGGAGCCTGAGCCAGAAAGTCAACTTAGTTTTTCTCACAAAAGTGTCTGTCCTCCTTGGTCAGTTTCTGAAATGAATCCACAAGCCAGGAACATTTGTCTAAATACTTTTAATTAAAATGCATGGCAATAGGGTGAAAGCCAGAGCATAAATACGGTATTCACGTTTGCTAAGAAAACAGATGAAAATATTCCAGGTAGCTGAATACATTTTGATAATGAAATTTTAAACAGCTTCTTGGTTTTTAATATTATTTACAATATTTATGCAGTTAAAAAAAATAGCTTACTACTCATCTTCTACCAAAGTGCAGGAAATGTTGCGACATTTTAAATCAGGAGAGATTCAACACACATAAGGTAAGAGTCCTGTTTCAGCTACAGAATGACGGTAATCCTGAGCTGTACCATCCAGATCTTGGCGATCAACCAGGACTGTTCTATCTGAAGAACAACGTCAGCCTCAAATTCGATTTATCTCATGTCCAAAGTCTGTGAACGTGTCAAGTTTTATGAGATTTCTCAGTGAAAGAAAGACACCACTGATCTCATTTCAAAATCAATTTTCTTTCCAGGACAGTTCTGGGGAATCTCAAGATTCTCTCACTTTATATAATAAGCAGTATACATTCAAGAGTTGAGATCTAAAAGAATAAGTACATTTATATAAAAAAGATTCCTTATTAACTAGGAGCTCACAGTGAAGGTGTCCTTGAAACATTTCAACATCTACTGAAGGGTAATACGTTTGCTTTATTGATGCATCTGAAATACTCGCTAAAGATGAAAGCATGGATTTCTGTGCTTTCCATGTTCTGTCCTTGGGTTGCGGAACATACAGCACAAATATGAAAATGAGGAATCGGGGTGGTAAAGAAAAAATTAGCCAAAACCTCCTGACTTCCCTTATTTAAAAACAGTGTTTACCAGTGAAATGACCTCTGTATAAGATTTTTTAATTGCAGTATTATTTTTCACAGTGTAAGACTGAAAATGCTTATCAATGGGAGGGTGGTTAAACGTTACAGTACATCCATACAAAGGACTAGACTGCAGTCTTGAAAAAATAAGCAGACCCTTTATGTGCTGATAGGGATCAATCTCCAAAATAAATCAAGTGAAAAATAACAACGGCTTCAGTAGGTTACCAATTGTGGAAAGAAAAAAAAAAAAGAAAAGAAACAAGAATGAATTTACCTATTTCCTTGTGTAAGCTTAAAAAACCTCTGAAAAAATAAACAAGAAACTGATCATAGTGGTTGCTTCCAGGAAGGGGAGCAGGGAGGTTGGGCATCTGGGGTAGGAGGGAGAATTTTTACTGGCTAACCTTCTGTACACGTGTAAATATGTTATTACTTTTAAAAGTAAATTAATAAAAGCTTTTAAAAAGGGTAACATAAATTGCCCATCACTATATTCAATATAATGATTACTCAGATGAATCTGTTACCCTGGGATTTGGAAATGCTTAGACCAGCCTGAGAATTCCCATATTGTTTACTTCTTTTCACAGGGGAAATGAAGATTCTCCTTTTAGTTGGATGGATAAAAACACAACTTTGCCAGCCTTCAAAGGCTCCTTCAGTAGTTCACAAGGTTCCTGTAATTTTATATGAAATGAGCAGGACCCATCAGAATGCTGTCTTTGGTGTGAACCGTTGCTGATGGAAACAAATGGCCCAACATTAGTTTTTGTTTTTAGTCACTCATTCCCCCAAGAGCTATTCAGTATGCAAATATTATCTCCATGAATATTCACTTGACTGAATGACTCTTTTTCCTTTTTTTTTTAAATTCATAAAAGCAACACAACTTGATGAGAAACCTCAGGAATTTCAGTGGTGTCAGCCATGAGATTCCACATTTCAGGCTTAATCGAAGTTGCTAACATCATCTCTACAGCAAGGGTGTCCAGAGCAAGTGATAGATTAATCCCTGCTGAGGAGGATTGGGTAACTGGCAGAGAGGATGCTCAGAAACACTCACAGCCCCTTGCCAGTAAGCCATTTCCATTTTATCTATCCTGGGGTAACAGCATCACTGGGAACTGAATACAGTCTGAGGAAGATAAGTGCTGACTGTCCTAAGGAGCATCACAGTCTTAACGTGACTGCCCAGCAAAGAAAAACAGCATCGGGCCAGGGGTCAGACGTGCTGTAATTCCCACTTAGCCAAAGGAGCAGCATAACTGCCTTCCCTTCTGCCAGGAATGGGAAGACAAAGCCAAGGGAAAACCCCAAATTCAACAACCGTTTACTTCTCCCACAAGGCTTCCCATGCGTTGAAGCCCCAGAGTAAAATATTTTGTTCTTAAAAATAATAACAGGTGGGGGGAGGTAGGATTCTCTACTCACAGTGGGAACTTTGGGGCACAAACACTGGGAAGTCTGCTGATTTCAACACCAGCCCCAGGGAGAAGCTGATGTCAAGGCAGGAACACTGGCCGAGCAGTTAACTGAGAGTGACTGAGGTCGTCACTGCTGCGGATCAGAGCCTTGGCCTGGGGGCGGGGGAGCGTGAGGGGCGGGGGGCACGAGGTCGCGAGGGGGTGTGCAGGGCGCATGCACCTGCCTGTGGCTGGCCGCTGTTGACCAGCTCATTCCTCCTTCTCCTCCTCCTCCTCCTTCTTCTCCTCCTTCTCCTCCTCCTCCTCCTCCTTCTCCTCCTCCTCCTCCTCCTTCTCCTCCTCGTCCTCCTTCTTCTCCCCTTCTTCTCCTCCCTCTCCTTCTTCTCCTCCTTCTTCTCCTCCTCGTCCTCCTTCTTCTCCCCCTTCTTCT